GGGCGCCTTCCCTCCGCCTCCCCTCCTCCCCTTCCCCGAGAGATGGTACAGGCTCCCCCTGAGAGCGCCGGGCCCCTGGGACCCACAGACACGCAGGTCTGCGGAGTGGCCCGAACACCCAGCGAGGGGAGCTGAGCCTCCGACCCCGGGGCGGCGGGGACTGCAGGCGCCCCGCATGCAGATGTTTCCGATACGCAATTAATTCAACCTCGTGCACACGCACCCGGGCCCCGGGAAAAACTAGATTCAGGTGAACACGCAGGAACACAAACTGAAATGCGCAGGCGGGCACACGGGTAACTGCCTCGGGGCCTCTGGTGCGCGGCAGGTCCCAAGGATGAGGACCATCTGGAGAGACCCAGATTTCCTGCTCACGGTTAGGTATTTTCCGTAATCAACCTCACGCTCCTCTCCCCGGCTCACCCCCTGCCCACGCTCCAGCCTCCATTCGGGCTGCTGCGTAAAGTACTCGGATCTCTCTCTGCAGAACCAGCCCTTCCCCTGCCTTTCCTGACACAGTTAAGAATTTACTGGCCGCCCAACTACCTAGTGATGTTTAGAGAGGGTGAAGTAGGAGTGACCGAGTCTTTCACGGTTGTGCGATGAACAAGCATTTGCCTTTCAAGATAACTGAGATTTTTTTTTTTTTTTGGAGACTTGGCTACCCCCGGAATGGACCGTGAGCGCAACGCCAGGGTCGGGGGTCAGGAAGGTCCTCTGTCAGCAGTGCCCTGGCTCGCTGGCTGCGTGATTAGCAGGCGGTGACCAGGGGCCTGAGGCAGCTTTCTTCACCAGAGCTTGGCTTCTCCCTGGGTTAAAGGGATGTGTGCTGGGAAGAACTGCACGTTGGGGACCATCTGGAAGATGATGAAGCAGGCAGATGACTAACAGGAATCACTGCAGCCTCCTGCTCTGCAGCTGGCCTCTTGTAAAGTAACACAGTAAACACGTTCTTGGGGGTTTAAAAATGCCCCCTCCCCCCTTTTAAAAAAATTAGAGTTCCCACTGGTTGTCAAAAGTCAATAAACGGTTTCTCTTTTTTTTTTTCTTTTTATAAATTGAGAAGGGGAGAGAGAGAGAAACATCCATGATGGGAGAGTCATTGATCGGCTGCCTCCTGCACACCCCCTGCTGGGGATGGAGCCTGCAACCTGGGCATGGTGGGCCCTGACCTGGAATCCAACCCAGACCTCCTGGATCCTAGGCCGATGCTCAACCGCTGAGCCACGCGGGCTGGGCAGTGAATGAACGGTCTCAAAAGTACTCTCGTAGAGGACTGTCGTCAACCTGTAAGACCTCAAAGAAACCAGCCACGGGAACAAGAAAATACAGTGAGGCAGCACAGCGTTTCAGAGGTCAGTGCTTTCACCATGTCTGTTTCCGAGCGTTGCAGTGAACTCCACTAACGGGGCACTAAAGTTTTGCGTGTGTTTTTTAAAATAGAAGAATAAAAGGAAACAATGACTATTTCCGGATCACAATGGATGCCATTCCATTGGCATCTTGAGATCTGAGATGATTTTGTTTCCTAGGGTACGAAGCTAAAGGGACTGGCAGTGGTTATTTAATTGTTTTGTAACAGAAAATGACATACCTAAGGGTGTCTGTGTCCCCCCCCCCAAAAAAAAAGCATTCTGACCACTTTGTAACCATTTCTCTTAATGAGTAAAAACAAACAAAACCAACCCTGGCTTTAGTGACACGTTTATAGCCAGCCTCCAGCAACACTGTGCCACCTAGGAGGCCCCAGCTCATGCTGTGTGCCCCGAGGACTGGCCTTCATCTGTTTTCAGTGCTTTTTGCCAGGTTTGAAAGTTAGTGATGTCACATTCTTCATATTGTTATTACCTCTGCTTCAAATTTGTGTTCATTGCATACAGACAATAGGATTCCCAGCATACTTAAAGAAATAGGAAGGATTTGTATAGATGCAGGATCCGCTCTTTCTTAGATCTAATGCTGCATTCTCCCTATCCAAGTCCCCGTTTTCATCATTACATATTAAAGTTAAGAAGCTTCTTTTTTTACTTCTGTTATAGCTCTAATAGTGAGAAGCTAGGAACTACCAGGCTTGTTGGTCCTGGTCAACAAGGTCCCATAAAACTGCTAAGCCAATCAATGGACTCGCAATAGTTCCACCAGATGCCCCCTTAGATGTGCTAGACGTGGACTGTCTTGCTCCAGGGAGCAAATTCATAATGTGTGCATTGCGTTGTATTTGCAAACAAGGGAAGACAACACATGATGATCTGAAATATGTTCCTTTAGTTGGATATCGGGTCAGTCAAAGCTTGAGAATCGTAAAAGCAGGCAAACCAAGGGCCCAAAAAGAGAAAACAAGAGTATGGTGGGGAAAGAGGGGGGCAAGTTGAACGTTAACATGACCCCATAATTGGGAATGAGTGATTGCTTCCCATCAATATGTTCATCAGTCACTTATAGCGTCCACACTTGTTGAGAGTGGACATTGCGCTAGATACTGGGGTTCATACCTCTGAGCAAGACAGACAACATTTTGACCCCCGAGTTGGGGGTTAAAGAGATCAAGATAACTCTGCACCACCTTGACACCAATACCTACTCAAGGAAATGTCCAATGGGAAATGATTGTAGGACCTTAATACAGGGTGGGCAAAAGTAGGTTTATGGTTGTTCATATGGACAATAAAACCATAATTAATAAATAATGCAAGAATAAAACCTGTGTTTTGCACACTCACAAGTATAAACATAGTTTTGCCCGACTCTGTCTAATCTCTACGAATGGATAGCATCAAAAGAGAAAATATATTATCACCATCATTGTCATTTCGGAGGTTAGTAAATAATCCGGCATGTGGCAAATTATCTCAAAAGTCCTCCCCACATTTTGGAACTTTGAATGACAAAAAAGAGGAAAAGTGTTTTGGATTTAATAGCACTCGGAAGCGGCTGACTGCTGAGAGAAGCGTCGAGTAAAGTCAGGAAGTAGAGAAACACGGCGTGTCCCGGGGTGAGGTCCTCGGAGTAGACTTTCCTCCTGGAAAGCAGGCTATTCTGCTGGGCCCCCAAGTCGGTCAGTTCCCCCAGAAAAATGTGTCCGACTAGAACAGAAACACGTGCCAGGCCGACCGCGCACTCCAGGAAGACGAGACTTGCCTTTCCCACCCCTGCCTGCAGGCACCCCTACCACTGTTTGGCTCATGCCAGTATCTCCATGGTGCTCCGGCAGAGCCCAAGGAAGCTGCGTTTACCAGAGCATTTGGGGTGACAGTCCCCTCCAGCCCCAAGTGTGCCAGGGAGGGCACAGGAAGAGCAAGGGCAGTGTCTCTGGTCAGGCCTGGCCCACCGTGGGAACGCGCATGAGTTAAACGCTGGGGGTGCCTCCAGGCGGAGAGGGCATTTTCCAACCCACACACAGGTAAGGTGAAAAAAAAATACCCAAGTTCAGTCCTGAGTCCTAAAGCGTTTCTTTGTGCTCTGATTTCCACCTTTTGTGTTTCCCTTGATTTGTAAGAATGAGAGTGGAATGAAATAAGACTAAGCTACCTCGCCCGGCTGAGTAGTCAGGCACCTGGGGCCTGGAGCTCCATCGCCTCCCCTGCGCTGTGTCATATTTGGTTAAGGGTTCGATGAAGCGGCCCTTTATTATGGATTTCACCTGGTTGCTAGTAGAGAAATATGGAAATGAAGTGAACCTGTCTGCAGCCTCCGGAGTGACTTCTAGACCCCTGGTTATGTGTGGCATCCCTCATCGCGTGGCACTCACCTGCGGAAACAGAGCAACGTCAAGTTGCTTCCTGCAGAAAGTTGTACCATCCTCCCAACTTCAACAGTCCGTGGTTCCCTTTTTAGATTTCTAATGCGGGGCTTTTTAAAGTCTCCTAGCGCTGGCTGCCAGGCTGTCTTCACGCTGTGAAAATTCATCAGGTGTAATATATAACTATATATCTTTTTCACTTTTCAAAGATGTATTACATTCCGTAAAAAAGTTCACCTCTTTGCTCAAGTCTCACGGTCTAGAGCCGCGGTTCCCAATAATGGAAATACTACCTCTAGAGAGGATTTTAGAAAATTGAAGTGCTCTGTGGTGCACAATATTATAAAGGGTTGCCGCACTTGCGGAGCGAGGGACGCCAGGCACTGAGTATTCTCGACGGCACAGTGGAACACGGCTTTCTAATTACTGAGTCCAGAGCCCAAATTAGTTTTACCGTAAATGGAAAGAATTTTCTGTGCACTTTTAAAATACATTGGATTTTCCAGAAATGCAACTACAGTGTCAATGGAGAAAAAATTTCATTTCTTGCATCCCTTCAGAACTTTACTTAACGTTATCTGCCTTTTCAGAAAATCGTGTCATTCAAGCAGCACCACTCATGGGCCAAGTAGGACGCGAGGAAGTCCAATCCCTGCCTCCCCTGCGTGTGCATTTACACAGTCATGGTGAGTAGGGGGCCTGGGGTATTAATATAGAGAAATGCATATATGCCATTATCAGTTATTTTTCATATAGTTTCCATTTATTAGACGTAAGGCATTGCATTGATTTTTATTTTTTGATTTTTTTTTTTTTTGAAATTGTAGGCTATATTATCTGTGGTCCTTTGTTTCAGCCAATGAAATGGAATATCTTCACCAGGACATCGAGTTTGCATTTCCCTGTACGTCTTCTTTTGAGGGCCGGGCCCCTCTAAAACATGAGAACCCAAAGACAGATTCTCTTGCTGTTTTAATCTCTTCATTATTTCCCGGTTTAAAGGGATTGGAAATGAAGACGCGGTTTATTAAGGGGCTGCAGAAGTGATTCTTTTTACTCAGAGGTGCAGCCACTTCGGGTGCTTTTGAAGAGTAGAAGGAAAGTCATCATGTCGAGGATGTGACTCTCAGTGGCAATCACGTCGTCACAGTCAACCCCAGACCTGAAATTCAGCACAGTCAGAGGTGTCTGTCTGGCTGCTCGAAAGCTGATTTGCTACCCAGCTAAATCCCATGACGTTGATAAAGTGTAGGATTCATTATTTAGCAGATTCGAAAACTTTACAAGTATTAGCACATTTCATCTTTACAACAACTTCCCTACTGTCCCCAAGACACAGAAAAAGAAACCGAGGGACTAACAGGTTAACTTCCTCATGGTCAGCGGTATCCAGTAAGTAGCAGAGCCTGGATTGAAAAGAAATCCAGGCACCCTGGCCCTAGAGGCCACGGACTTGACTTAGCTACACTGCCTTCTACGGTCGCCACAGAGCAAGTTAGAAATAATTTTGCACTAAAAAGACTAATGAGCCAACAGAATTACACTATATTGCCTTTTTAATTTTTTTTTTAAATAAGGGGATCGTTAAGTTTCCACTTAAGTTAAATAAAAATTCAAATAAAGATTAATTTAATTGTTTACAATAAATGGAAAATTATATAAAAGTTACAATCGAGAGAGAGAGGAGGAAGAGAGCGAGAGAAGCGGCACATTTAGGGTGAAAAACCAGTGAAAATGTGGCTAGAGCAAAGGTCGCTGAAAGAAAAATCTGAGCATTTCTTGTCCACCTGGTCCTGGCAAGTTTCCAGTGTTTGACACTATTTGCTTTTCCCATCCAAAGATTTGTTAAAAATGGCATCCTTTCTGGAGCCAGCTCACATCCACAGCCTCCCCCGTTTGCAGGATTCTTTGCCCTGGGAAAGCTGAAACTACCGTGATTTTCTGCTTTTCTGGACAGACGCACTTTCTTTATTGCACACGGACATATATTCTCTCACTCTGCCTCATGGTTCTAGTTGGACTTGAAAGAAAATAAATAATATTTACAATTCCTTAAGAAAAATTCCACCCTCTTATAGGTCAGTTCATCCTAATTCCAGTCTAATTAAAATCTGCATTTTCAATCTTTCGAATCATTTTAGTTTTGTTGAAAGTATTAATATAAACATGTAGTTTCACATGTATTTTTTTTTTTTTATTGCAAAATATACGCACATACGTCCAGCATGGGCACAGGCTTTACAGCCTTTATATTTTAATTTAACATAGCGTAAATATGCCCATTTCCATAAATATCCTTTAGAGCATACTCTTTAAAATCATTTTATGAGTTTCAAATGAAAAGTGATGGATCACATCTAAAATTGAGTTCTCCAGCAACTTACTGCTGATTATTTATATCATTTCTAATGCCTCACATTTATAACTAATATTGCAGTGACCACTCGTGCATTGATTGCAGAACCAAGCTCAGCTCGCGGCCTTAGCAATGGCTTGGAGATCGTGCTGGCTGTTCTGTCTCTCCTGAGTGCCTCCTAAATTTCATCTGCTGCCCTTCTCGGTAAGCCTGGTGCTCGGGGAGAGTCACCTCCATAAGTGTCAAGGGGGACTGTGGCTGTCCATTGGTTTTGTCCAATGGGTGGCACTGTCGGTGGCAGATTAGCTGGTGGGACAAGAGAGAAGTTGGGGCACTGATTCCGCATGGCCCGCATCTCCGCATCACAGGCCTCGGGTCCGACAGTGATTAAGTTCTGCGATTTAACCTCCTCCCCTTCCCTTCGCCCTTGGGCCTCACCGGTACCTGGCTTATCCCCTTTGTGTTAGAGGTGGGAATGGCTCCCCCGTGTCGCAGGTCCCTAAATGCTTCACCCTGCTCTGGCTCTCTTTCCCCTGGCCACACCTCCGTAATGAGCACATTCATTAATCTTTTTAAATTTATATCCATGGGGTGAGTCATCTATTTTCTGCCTGAGCACGATAAAATTCTCAATGGGATATAATAACAGTTCTTTAAGCATTTGATATATATCGTCACTTTATTTTTTTTTCACAATCTAAATGCACCACTAGTGTTGTATAAGAAATCAACATCTCTATAATTTTCTAACCCCGAATGTTATCTTTTATAGTTGAATTTATTGGGGTGACAGTGGCTAATGAGATGATATAGGTGTCGAGTGTACAATTCTATGGTACGTCATCTGTATATGTCATTGTGTGTTCACCACCCAAAGTAAAATCTCTTCTGTTCACCCCCCTTTGCTCTCTCTTGCCCCCCACCCCACTTTCCCTCCGGCAATCACCATACTCTCGTGTGTCTGTGAGTTTTTGTTTATCTCATTTGTTCATTTGTTGTTTTCAGTTTCACGCCCCACATACGAGTGGAATCGTACGGTTCTTGACTTTTTTCGCCGGACTTATTTCACTTAGCATGATAGTCTCAAGATCCCAGATGTTATTTTTAAATATTGTCAAAATGACAAGCAAAATAGAACATCAAACACAACATCTGTTGACTACTAAGGAGAATACATGTTAAGAGAGACACAGGGAGAAAGGTTTACAGATCAAATTACTACTCAATAGTGTCCAAAAAACACCAGGTATGGCCCACGGCTCGAATTTCAGCGCAAGTACAAACGAGCTACATGGATCGAGGCAAGACTCCTTTTTAAAACACCCTTAAGCCTTTCTTTAAAAAAAAAAATCACGCCGGCCGGGCGTGGCTCAGCGGTTGAGCATCGACCTAGGATCCAGGCGATCGGGGTTCGATTCCCGCCCGGTCAGGGCACATGCCCGGGTTGTGGGCTCGATCAATGACTCTCATCACTGATGTTTCTATCTCTCTGTCTCCCTCTCCTTTCCTCTCTCTGAAATCAATAAAGATATATTTAAAAATAAAGAAATATATTAATTAATTAATTTAAAAATTCACATGTGAGCTAGAGATAGTAACAGTGTTGGCAGCAACGCCATCGCACTGGACCTCTCTGGCCCCTTCCAACCCTAAGCCTGTGCTCTTGCAGCCCCAGCAGGAGCAACAGGGTGGACAGAAGCCCTGCACCGCTTGCCACGGCCTGGCCCACAGAGCAAACCCCACCTCCTGCGCTGAGTTCCCGAGGCATTCCTGTGGCTCGTTCCTTTTTCATTTCTCCAAAGACGGATAAATATTACGATGTACGCGATTTCTTCAGTAATCGACTTCATCGGAGAGGTAGTCAGTCCCATGACGCCGAATGAAGTAGACGGAACAGCTACTCTGAAAAGTCAAATCCCATGAAGCCAAAGCGGGCCTGCTAATAAGAGAGGTGGACTCCAACATCCCCGCCGACTCACATTTGCTTATTTATTGCTTTTCCTGAGCTCTTGTGTTAGCAAATTTCATCTTGTCTCTACGTTATCCAGGCTCAGCCGGAAACGCTATGACATTTAACACCGCACTTCATGGGATGCTGTAGATCACACCGCTTCCCTTAGCAGAGGGGACGGCCCCGGAGTTCAGGAAGGCTGGGCCCTTGGAGCTCACAGAGGAAATGGGATATTTCTCGGGAGGGGAGGAACAGGCACCGCAGAGCTAGCTCGTTTGTGCTGGAGGTAATGGCGCGAGAGAGGTAACGCTGGGGCCTCTGAGAGGCTCCATGAAGGGGAAGAGGTGGGTGCATGGAAAGCTCACACCGTTTTCTGCAAGTGGGCAAGATTTGCAGAAGGACCAAGGCTGGGAAGAACGCATCGTGTGCAATGAATGCACTTTGCAGGTGGAGCTGGTGCTGCGGGCTCACCTGCAGCAGGTCTTGTGCTCTGGGCTGCGGGGCCATGGATTCGCCCTGCCCACCCTGCCCTCGGTCCCCGAGCAGGGCCTGCGGGTGTGGAACACCCGTGCGGGGTGAGGCGGGCAGCGGAAAGCTGCTGAACACGACGGAACGAACAGGCTTGTGCACAAATTAAACTTGCAAGTGGGATGCAACCAGCGCTCTGCTGAAACGCTGAGCAAACCAGAGCCGGGAAGAAAGGCAGAGTCTCCCATGAGATGACTGGGGAGGGATTAATGTCTACTTGAGCGGATAGGGAATTCGCTAATGTTTTCCCTGTGCATTATTTGCAAGAAAAATAATGCACAGAAATATAACATTTTCAAATGGATGTGTAGATGTTTAAAAACACATCCAGGCTTCTACGTATACAGTAAACTTGAGTTTTAAGTGTTTTTGTCTAATACTTGACAGAATCTGTCATTAGAGCCAACTGTCATTGAAACAACCACCACAGAAGCCCTCCTCCACCCCTACCGCCAGCAAAAAAATAATAATAATAAAGTCTCTTCCATAGAAACCTCAGGCAAGGAGAAGAGGGGGCCACAGGGAAGGCACTGGGCAGGGTGGCAGGCAGCCAGCTTGGCCAGAGTTGGCCGGAGATCCATGACCCTTTGGTTCTCCAGGGAGGGTGTAAAGTTCTGTCAGCTCACCCATTCAGATAATTAGCAAGAGCTATTATGTCCCTGCTCCATCTGCTTGCATTTTTGCTAATAATTGGAACACTGAATAATGTTCCCGAGTCCTTCAGCTCCGCCACTCCAACTGAGCGCATCTCAGGCGACAGGCCAGGGACTAAAACCCTCAGGCTCCCCAGTCTTCCTGCGTGAGAGGCTCCCACCACCATGCAGAGGACCAGCAGGGCTCGGTGGTGACGGAGTTTAATGACCCCACGGTGACGGAGGCCGGTCCAGCCTGCAGTCCACAGCTTGCACCCTTAACCGCAGACAGCTGTCTTGCAAATGCAGGCCTTAGGAACCACGATGCTCACAAAGGGAAAGTGAAAAACCATTGACTCAGGCAGGGATCAAGTTTAAGACATCGCCTTGTCATAGTGAGCTGGAACTATGCATACCGTATTTTTAAAAACCCTGCAGCAGCCCTCTTAAGGAGAGGAGATTATGGATTGCCCCGGACAGGGTCCTGCCGTCCTCCAGGCCTCCGCATGGTGACTTGTGCAGTGGCACGCTCAATTAAGTCCAGTTGGCTGGATGACTCAGAGGGCTTCAGTGAAGAACAGGATAGAAGAGAAAGCATGCTATTGCATTTTGAAATGAGTGTTAAATGATCTTTTCAACTCGAAAGCCCTTCTCACATTTTTTTTTTTTTTAATTTTTGAATTAAGCTTGTGAGCTGAATCTCAGTAAGAGGAAACGGTTACCACCCACCTAAGTACTTATTCACGGGGTGTGTTTTATTGAGCATCTACTATGTGCTGTGTTTGTGCTGAGCATGGACTAGAGCCGAGTCCCTCTCTGTAAGGCAATGACTGCATTTTTGCAGGGTCAAGTGCTCTAAGGTATTACCACTATAGATACATTAAAAAAAAAGTTAGTAGTAAGTTACATTTGCTGCTAGTTTCTATGACCTTTACGTTTTATTATTAATAGATTATGAGAGGAAGTGGTTATTAAAAAAACTAGTCATTCTACTGATGATACATGTTTTCACTAAAAATTCTTTCCACTGAAGATGCATGATTTTTTTTCTTCTTCAAAGGGCTAATAAGTGGTATTACTGGAACTAGAACTTAGGTTTACAGATATATTGTCCATAGAATTAGTGGATTTTCATTATCTGAT